AAACAAATACGGATAAAATTTTCCTGGTAATTTTTGTTTCCGGAATTTTTTACGTTTTTTCACGGAAATTTTTGTTACAGTGTAGTTATCATTCTCACACTTAAAAATGTTTCACACCGGAAATAATAACACAATTACCTCATAATTACCTCCCTTGTTTTTCTATTCCCTACCATGGAATAGCTATCTCCAAACGTTTGAATTTTAAGTTGAAAATGATATTTTTGTCAATTTCTCAACTGGCAATAGTGAGAGGGAGAAATGGGGTTTAACGTCCACTCGACATAAACTAGGTCATTTCGGGACTAACATATGGTTTAATTAATTTTATTTCAATAATTCGCTTGCGCGAAGGGGTCTTTAGCAGTGGGAGGAAACCAGAGGACCCGGTGAAAACCCACGAGGCTGGACAGGCGACCCTACTCCTTGTCACGTACAACCGGGGATTCGAAACCACGCCAGTTGACTCAATGACAGGTCTTATGATACAGCACGCACGTGCTAACCATTCGGCCATCCAACCCCCCAACTGGCAATAGTGAATTATATGATTAATAGGATTATTCTTTATCAAGGTAGGACTGTTTGTACATAGCATCGATTTTAAGGCTTTATTTGAACTCACCTTTCGTTTCAAAATTATGAGTTTGCACCAGAACGTATAAAACAAAATGAAAATTCCGACAGCCATAAGGATTTTGTTTGATTAAATTATCGTTTAACGTATGTATAATAGAAATAATGGTAGTTTTCTTCATGTTTTAAAAATTAAGTAATTCCCCAAACCAGATGTGTCATAGCTATACCCGGAAGTTCAATGTGCTTTCAATCTTTATTGTATTTGGAATGATTTCTGTTTCTTCAGGACGTCATTTCTCGTTTTTTGTCCATTACAATTTAAACAATTACCCTACAACTGGAGGTGTCAATTCGTACATTTCCCCTGTTGTCTGTTTATTTGAACAGTAGATTTTTAAGTTTCCTGTTATTGCAAAACAAATGACAGACTGGATTTTTCAGCTGCTCTCTGTCAACAAAGATTTTTATAAAACCATTGATTTAAAGTTAAGAAATAACGGGCGTTGTATCACGTACGTGTGGATATTATTACCAAGTTGTTATTGAACAACGCATCAATCAGAAAAATAGAAAAATCAGAATAAGGAAACAACAAGTTATTGTAGCGCTTAAATAGACAAAACGTTTTATTCAATCCTTAATGGGGGCCACGGTGGTTAAGTGAGTAAGGCGCTGGCTCGCTAGTCTGGGGGTCGCGGGTTCGGCGCGTTTCCCTCTTGTCATTCAGATGGTACCAGAAATAAATGAAAAATATATTTGTGTAAACATAATTTGCAGTCTAATCTGTTAAGACACGTTTTAATAAAGAGTGACCCGGCGAGTAACGCGCTGATGGGATTTACCATCATATCATACTGCACGGCGTATACAGCCTTCATTAACCCGGTTGTCACAGAAAACTAGGACGTTTAACCCCATTTCATTTCATTTATTATATGTAGCCGTTAGTATTTCTAAATGGGCTGTCTGCAATCATGACTACACCGTTCAATATTGTCAATTATCTTAAAACATGTTGTGCCGTAACTAGTGATCTGGATCAAAATGGCAGTCTACACTATGAAATCATGTTGTTGGCCACAGCAACGAAAATAACAACATTTGGCAGAAATTAATGAAAATATCTAATTGATTAGACAGCTAAACCAACCTAATCAGTCTGAGATTCTTTCTAATGAAGTCTCTTTTTTCTCCTTTTACGTGTCTGATTGCTAATATCAATTGGCATAAACCTTTGTAATGAAATCAAAAAAGATCGCTTATAGTGAGTACTAGTATACGTGTTGTGTGGTAATCACATACATTATTTATGAAAAGTGTGCTTTGCACGTATTTTCATAATTGAACGGAGCCACGGTGGTTCAGTGGGAAGGGTGCTAGATCTCTAACCGGGATGTTCGGGGCATTTCTATGGTTTGGGGTTCGGCCATGGTTTTGACCGAGCAAGTTCCTCAGGATTTTCCCGCGTGGCAAGAGTGTGGGGCCTGGCAAGGAAGAGTGCCTAGTCGTCCGGATGGGACGACAACACGAGATCCAGTGTACAAGTTGACCTGCATGTCAAAGAACCATTGGCAGTTTGATTGAATATTTTGTTTCGTTTAACTCCCATTTATTAAACACTAGTCATATAAATCAATATATTAATATATTCTGAGGCATCAGATATTATTAGTTTATTAAATTTATACCATTAATTCACACATAAACATAAACCTGGTTCAATTTAAATCACAAATGAACACACTATAGCTTTTGGTCTAAACTTGATTCGATCTGTTTTGTGAAATGCGAATAGAAATGCGATATTATTAATTGTTTTTTACACTGCGAGATGGTTTGTCAATAACTTTAGTAGCGTAACCCATTCTGTAAATTGATATTTCATGTTTTTGCAAACCGGTGTGATTCCTGAATTTGCATTTTTCTCAATCCCCCAAGTAAATATTATCGTGTTTCATTTACTTTTAAAGAATCAAGTATGTGAAGGATTAAGAAAGAAGTAGTTACATGTCCATGTAATGTAGGCAAACCAAACAGAATACTGGAATAAAAAAAGACGTATACGAGGCACTATATGCTTACTCTCAGCCCGATTAAGATATAAGTTTCATTTCGTGTGATTTCTGTCGATTGTGTCTACTATATACAGTTCTGGCCCCGAGTTCACAAAGCAGTCTCAGACTTAAGTTGAGAATTTACTCAACTTCCAATCACTGTTTATAAGAAATATCTTTCATCCAGAAACAAAAAAAAACCTTTTGCACATAGTTTCTTATTGATGTATTTGATAAATTAAAACAACAAAAGTTTTATAAAGGGCTATAGTTTAGTTAAAATAAGGCAAACAATTTGGAGAAGATTCTTAACTTTATTCTGAGAATGCTTTGTGAACTCGAGGCCTGATCTATAGTCGTGCGCGGGAAGTTCCGTCAGTGGTTATGTTTGAACAATGATTGAATCACATGGATGATATAAGTAACATATTCTAGCATTCTTTCCGAAGCAGTCCAAAGTAATTCTTGGCTAAACAGAGTATTTCTTTAGCCATCATCAAACAAAGCGCTACATTTCGTGACCCTGATGAAATCTACAGGTGGCCTTAATATTTAGATCTAACCAAACGAAATAGGATAATGTTTTAACCAGATTTATTTAACTCGACCAACAGATGATTCACATTTACAATTAGATCATTTTGGCGTGTGTCTGTCCACATACTTTCACACATGTCCTTTTAAAATTCATTGTTAATCCTTTTCTTGATTCGGGGGGGTTGGATGGCTGAATGGTTAGCGTGCGCGCGCTGTATCATAAAGTCTGTCATTGAGTCGACTAGCGTGGTTTCGAATCCCCGGTTGTACGTGACAAGGAGTAGGGTCGCCTGTCCAACCTCGTGGGTTTTCTCCGGGTCCTCCGGTTTCCTCCCACTGCTAAAGACCCCTACGCGCAAGCGAATTATTGAAATAAAATTAAACCATATGTTAGTCCCGAAATGACCTAGTTTGTGTGTGTCTCTCTCTCTCTCTTTTCTTGATTCATCTAGAATAATCTACTCAAATCGGACTGTCACTTTAAGGTTATAAAAAAAAATATTTTATATTCCTACTGGTTATTTACTCATTAACCTAAATACAGTATATAGCACCTTTAATCTGTCTATAGACCAATATACTGAATACAGTATTGATGTTGATTCCCTTTTTATTTACCGATATCTATTATTGAAAAACATTCAACGATCAATAGTTACATAAACTATCACATTTCATTGGCACCACCATTTTCACACTCTATCAAAAAGCAAATCCAATATTTCTACTAGATTCATAGAGAACGGAAATCATCCATTTCGTGCTTGTCAAATATCGGAGCTTGTTTGTGACCTGAAACAAAAACACAAAGTATCACGAGTAATTGAAAATGGGATTACCTGCATACCGTAGTGAATGTTTTATTGAAGAAAGTAGAGTTTTCCAATTTGAATTGCATTATTGTATTCCTAGTGACTGAAAGTACTTTATTTACCACAGTTACTCGCCTGAATTCAAACATCAACACCATCCTCGCATAATTATTTGGCTGATTGTAACTCTTCTGTTTTGATAAAACTTAAGATATACCTGCATGTATTGACACTCTTCTAAAGTGTAACACCCATGCCATCCACACATATTTAATTAGATTATTCCAGTTAGATTGGTAGGATTTTGAAACTCGATAACTTTGCTTCCAGTGAATAGATGCAGTTAAAACTTGGAATACACCTCCATTTCTCGGTCATGTCCGAACACCATTTTCAATCTGTACATATTTAATTGGTCTATACTGCCATATAATGATTGATCCTTTCAAACGGAATACATTTAATACACTTATAATGTAAGCATTCATTGCCATATTAAATATAAATGTATGATACATTCTATGTGAAATCCCAATTCAGTGAATAAATATTGAGTTTGGGAACAAAGTATAGCCAGCTTGTAGAAGTAAGAAACGGGGGAGGGGGGGGGGGGGTTATATAAAAGAATGGGGTGGGGATATTTTTCAATTACGTTTACGGTTCCAACGCTAGAATGAATGAATGTAATGGAGTTTAACGTCCTTCTTTTATGCACCAAAATGTCTAATGAAGACGGTAGCAATCGAATTCCACCTGCCAAGGTTTATGTTACGTGTACGACAATGTGTACACTGGACCTTGGTTTTTCGTCACATCTGAACGACTAACCCAACAATAGATAAATACAATTAGTTCATTTTATTTTATGTATGTCTATGTTATTATTATTATTATTATTAGTCTTATGTATATTTTCAGGTTGTGTTTAATCTACTATCATATGTTATTATCAATGTAGTGTTATAATATCTTATGTATGTCTATGTTATTATTAACGTAGTTTTATGTATATTTTCAGGTTGTATTTAATCTACTACCATATGTTCAATCAAGTTTAAATCCTGTAATCTACATCATCATGTCGAAATCTATCCGTAAATCAATCTGTAAATCCTTACCAACACCACTGATTAAACTGTGTTCGCGATGTGGTAGAGATTCTCCCAATAGCATGATGATGATGAATTCCACGATGCCTCCAACTCAGACACTAAAAACTACTATGGACACCTGCAGGATGTATGGAGCTGGTGGACAAACGGCTGATCTCTAGATGGTATAATTCCTTGAAGTGAACTAGGAGACGAACATGGCCTTTCATGCGAATATTATTAATCTCTTTTGTTATGACAGCAAGCTAACAACTGAGACCTTGGTTGTTGATTAATTTGAATTTTTTCTTCTGAAACCACAAGGAACTGGGGTTTTATCGGATGATCTCAAATAGTGTTTGTTGGGTTCAGTTGGTGTGCATCAAAAACTTCTATAGATTTGGGTTAATCCATCTGGGACAAAATAAATTGTGACTTTTTTATATCAAATGAACCATCAAACGTATATCAATTCCTATATTTTAGGGTTGAGTTAGATTGTGTGTTCATAAAGGGTATTCACAGCTTTGTGACCTTTGACTAACCAGATAAACATACATCTCCTTTATAGTGTCTGTTTGATCGGGTGTTCATGACAAAGTGACAATGATCAGAGATTTTAAATAAACTTACAATATTGGATTAACATCATGGGGCATATGGAATATAGGAATGCAAAGAAGTGTGTGCGAAGTTTTTTTTATTATAATGTCGACTGAAGCATTTAGACAATGGTCCCAAGAAGATGCTCATCTGTTTAACATACATTGTATGTTTATACTTTAGTGCTATAATATTTATTATATTACAATGGATTTGTATATATTAATGTATTAATTTTAATACTAATGTATAGTGTGCAATATTTCTTTGCTTTGTGTACACGTAAATGACGACCAATTAAAAGAACCCCATTTAAGTTAATGCTTTAGTCGTTTGGGTGCCTTGGGTTAGGTGCTTCTAAAACTATCTCGCATACATTGTTATTATTTATTGATGATTTCATGGTGGTTTGTTTTTAAGAGAAATTTGGTGACATTTTATCTGTAGAAACAGACTGATATAGAAACATAAAATTATTTGTCAAGTGTTTTTTCTTGATCGGAAACAAAAATAAATATTTGGTAATTGGATACTGGTAGGCAACATTGAGTTAAAATATATTTTGAATAACTATTTTGTCTTTGGACAATATAACCTATTTGATGAGTAGAATAACTGTATATATTTTCTACATGCATCGTTTATCTAATATATATGTAGTGCGTTATATATCTATAATATTCAACTAGAAAAAGTAATTAACTTGTTTTAGTAATTACCAGGTGATCTGATGATAAACTGGCTTTTGTCTAAGAAATAAACAATAGAAAACAAAATATTAATCAATATAGATAATTAATACCTATATTACCTGAGGTTTTATTAGATTTTCACCTGACTGATTACAATATGTTAACCTAGAAATTACTCTCTTTCATATCATTTTCTGTCAACTTATTATAATATGGAAGATCGCTGGAGATTTATACTATATTAATTAATGTAGCTCTGTGTTGATCTGTGGGTAGTTGCCAGTTATCTACTCATTCTGTGCACAAGATATCAGACAAAATTAGTCAGGAAGTATCATGCTGTGTGTGATATTTTTTTACATGTTATATTTAATTTCAGCGTTGATGTTATAATGGTATATTAAACATGCCTTATGCAGCGCAAAATTTGTCTATTGCATGTCTTTCTATAGACCTGACAAGTTATCAAAATTATTAATTAGAGATTAATTAACTTACCAAGATCATAATCATAATCAACTCTCGATGCCATCGGATGCCTGCGATTTTTCATTGATTCAAATACGTTTTGTGGTGGATGCAGTTACCGTAAAAATGGATAATCGAAACTTTGTTTATTATTGTAACAACAGTATTAATGACAATCGAGGCTAGCCTTTAATTATATCGCTCAGATTGAAGTAATTTGGCTGAAAATTTCAAAATATCCTTTTTCCATTATGTATTCTTTAACTACTATAGCGAGAAATGTCAGTTTATTTAATCTTACCTAATCCTGCTTTAAGTATGGAAAATATCAAACCATTTTTCTCGTCTTTGCTACAGGCGTGTTATCATTATGGATAGCATGTATGAATAAATGGAATAGTTAAATTAGAAAATGATATGAATTATTGTAATTGAAGGTGGGATATGTTATATATTGTGAAATTTAAAATCAATTCTTTCCCGCGGTCGAATCAGAATACATGACGCCTTTTGTTTTTATCTAGTAATTACTTGTATTTGCAACAGTTTGTACCATAATTACAACTTATACATAACCTAATATTTACCAGCATGTTTCTAAATTCAATAAAAAAAATACACTTAATGCCTAGGTCCCACCGGGGAAAAATCATCGGTAATGTGGAAATAAATAAATTTTCTCCCGATGACTCCCGATGCTATCGATGTTTTTGGCCAAAAAACGGAATAGTCCCATGAGAAATGGCACTTATTAGGCATCGGGTATGGTCCGGTGGACGTTCACTGATTCTTCGGCTATGATCACAAAGCGTCTGAGAAAGTCACCCGAACAATTGTCGTGATTCATCGGGGATGGTCCTCAATAATCGGGAAAGCTCAAAAGTGAATAGTCTTGCCGGTAGATCTCAGTCTCGTGCCTGGTGGCATATCGGCGGCACTTATACCTAGGTTCCACTCGGCATTTTTTGCCTCGGCGATGTACTACCGATTGAAATTAACGAGACTCGGGAGGCGTCTGAAAAACATATTTCGCGGAAGCTACCAGGTAAACATTCCCGGAGCATCCCTGTGGGTCTAGAAGGCTGTGGGGATGCCTCTCCGGTCTCTCGCAGTTCTCCCGAGGCCTCCCGATGGTTCCCGAGTCTCGTCAATTCATCCGTAGTACATCCCCAAGGCAAAAAAAAAAAAAAAATTCCCAGTGAGACCTAAGCATTAAGCAACTACTTTTTATACTATTAACGTACTTGGGAAATTATAATACACACATTTAGTATTGTAATGCATGAAAATCGTTTTTAGTGAGGTGGGTCAGGTATGCACAATAGTACTATATCTTGTATTGTTTCTGTAATATTTCCAAGCATATGCGTACACCGACCCCAGCCCCCCAAAAAGCTTTATTATGAAACGACTTTTATAATTATGTTACGGAAATATGTAACTATCTCCACGTATAATACGTGAGTATCGGGGAAATTTTGTTGAGTAAGAATTGTTAAGAAGGAAATAGGATGCAGCCGATTTCCGGGGCGAATTTTGAGAGGGGTTAATCAATCTGTCATTGCGCATAAAATAAAGCAAAATACGACCATATCCGTTTTAAAGACAAGCCAGACGAATTTGAGACTCTTTACTACACATAACATGATTTACCCTGTAGGTTTTTCCCTTCAGTTATGCAATGATTAAGATGTAACTGTTCTATAGAATAAATCTGTTTAAAAATCGAACAACGGAAATTAGGCAACCTCATATGAATCACGGCATTAATTTCAGACAGACCACTTCTCGACTTTAAAACAGTGATAAACATGTGTTCTGATTAGACTGTCCATGATCGGAATCAGTATTGCGATAAATGATTATAACATATTCGATTATGTACGATGACTTTTCAGATATCCTCCGTTACATCGGATCATGATTTAACTAATTATTACAATTCTTAAAGTCTTAAAGGTTTCTACCCTTAATACTTTTTAATTTATCAGTCTTACTGTTATTGAACTATTTTTTTTTTTAGTATCTTAACATCAAAACAATTGTATTTGAATAATACCGTATATATGCCGATTTGATTCATAGTTTGACTTGGCTGTTTCTAACGCTGGGACCCCAGCGTTACTCGTCTTGTTGGTCTTGTTGATATGACGTCACAATTCCAAGATGTAGGTCCATAGTACGTTCGTGCTGGTTCAATAAATGTCTTAAAAATATATTTTGTTTTTAAACATCGGTTGGTTTTCTGAGAACTTTCAACATATTAACTGTCAAGTGTTAATGATGTTATTTAAAACCAATTAAATGTTTTGTTTTTAAACTCTTTTGAAACTTTAAATTTTAATTTTTGCAACCAACATCTGTTTTTATAAAATATGAATAATACCATGTACATTGTTTATATATACATTATTCCCAGTAGCTTTTAATATTGTTGTTGTTTATAAATAATACATTGTGTTAAATAGTTTACTAAAATCAATTTATCATTTTTATCATGTTATTTATTTACATGCAAGCGTTACCTTAAGCCTGTATTCTATTGATTTAAATAAAATATGATCATGTTTCAGTGAATACTTTATGGTTGATATTTTTTGTATGTACCAGCTGAAGCGACGTAATTAATAGTGGCGATGGTCCGTAGTCGGTAATGCTTTGATTTAATCCCAATAACATGGTTCAGAATTTGCAATAATGGAGAGAGGCCTTCTTGCGACCATTTCTAACACATGAGGACAAATTTGTGGAATAATGGAACTGTTGTCCAAAACATCATTGCCTGTTAATGGACACCCATCTCTAACGTATACGAAAACGAGACCTTTCTTTTGTGAGAAATTGCTCCCTGTTAAATAATGCTGATTGGTCTGCTAGCGACCAATTCCAACAAATGAGGAGAAATTCGTGGAATCATGGAACTGTTGTCCATGCATGTCCACAGCTTACAATATATCTCTCACCTTGTTCACCTTATACGGGTCGGACTGGACTAGCGCTCGACCATTTCTCAGAAATATAGCTAAGTTTATTGTCAAGAAACCTCTTTAACCCACTAACTGTATTTGTCAATACTAATATACCATATGGCAATTAGAGATAATGGTATATACATGCTTATGGTATAAATTAAACACTGTAATAAACTCTAACGCTACACCTAGAATTATTTACTCATCTTTACGTTCTTAAAGTTGCAATTTCATATTTTTAAGTTACATTTTTAAAATTTATTAAAATAAAGCCTTAAAATAGATGGTATCTATAAACAGTCCTACCTTGTTAAAGAATAATCCTCTTAATCCTATAATTCACTATTGCCAGTTGAGAAATTGGCAAAAATATCATTTTCAACTTTAAATTCAAACGTTTGAAGAGAGCTATTCCATGGGGGGAATATAAAAACAAGGGAGGTAATTGTGTTATTATTTCCTGGGTTAAAGGATTTTTAAGTGGGAGAATAATACCTATGATCGTATAATAGTGAGTTGACAACCTATTGAGCAAAAGACATAGAAATAATTATGTTTTGACTTTCTTAGAAAATATGAAATTATCGCTTTAATACCGGGTGCTCTGTACTATTAAAGTGCAGGAGAACTAATCTACGTAATGAGAGTCAAACACTAGGTGCAGACCAACAAAAAGTGCAGAAGCAGTATTGTTGCTAGCTGTAAGTGTAGAAGAACAATAAGTGTAGAAGCACTACTCTTGCTTGCTGTATGTGTAGAAGAACAATAAGTGTAGAAGCACTACTATACTATTACAGAAAAACAACTACTAGTAGTTTGTCAAGAAAAACAATTTACGTGCAGAAGAACCACGTCAAACAGGATAATCAATACAAGGAGTTCAGAACAAATGCATCAAAGACATTAATATTAATAAACAAAACTATAAATCCAATTGGCCTAATACACGAATATCACAAATATCGTAGATAATTAGAGAGCTACCTAATCAAATAAATTGGGAATCGTTAAGCAAACCATTTATATGTTAATCATAGCAAAAATCATACTATGCCCATTTGTTTAAAATTATATCATAGTTTATCATTGTTGTGAGTAATACTGGCAGTGCTAATTCAAACTTTGGATAAATCCATTATGGATAAATCTATTAACCAAATGTACCCCAGCGATCTTTCGTAGGCGTCAACTTGCGTTTTATATCCATTTTAATTTAAACAATAACCCTAGAACTACAGAAGATTTGATCTCATAAATCTTCTAGTTGAATAGTTTCTGGAGTGTTTATTAAAATAACAGATTTTATGTTTCTTTCTGAAGCAAAACAAATGACATATCAACTGTCCAGCTGCTGTCTTTCCACATAAATATCATTTTAAGTGACTTTTGATATTAACCAAGCTAGATAATAACTGCTTTATATATAAGGTCCTGTCCATAAATGTTTTTTGTTTTTTGGGGGTTTTTTTGTGTTTTTTTTAAGATTTCACTAAAATAAAAAATGAGCAACCTTCTTTTTAATAAATAAATAATTAGAAATTGCTCTATCGATTGTCAGTTAAGACAAAGGCTCCGGTCAACATTAAACCCTCAAGTCCCATATGACTTCAACAAATGATTATTAAAATATGCGTGAGTGAAACAACTAATCCTCTACTAACATACACGAATAGTAATCACGATTCTAAATTCTTCTGGTATCTACGTTGTTGCGGACGTAGGAAGTCACTGTCTACTCTAGAGGAAACGCAGAAAAAACGCCCACTTATGAGGGATTTGGGCCACAAATGAGCTATCTACCAACTGAAACACAATTGTATGATCATTTGACTGGTTGGTGTATCATACCATAATTTCTTGATATGGCCAGTTCAGTTGAGTCGGGTTCCTGCAGCACACGATATCCGGTTAGACGCAGTGGTCACGGTTTGAATTGTTCGAGTAGTCCCCTGAGTATAAAAAGTAATATTGGTTGATTTTCTTGCTAAAACTAACATTTCATTCGAAGTTGACCGTGGGCGTGGATATGCACACCTCGTAGACAGAACATGGGTTTAGTTAGACGTGATACACAGATCACAGCTTTGAAGATCTCAAGTATCATTTACTGTTTTAATACATTATGGGAGATTAGATAGAGAGCCGGTAGTTCTCACTATAATAGTTAAAAACTAGATAATGTAAAGGGAATTTGCTGAAGATTTCAGTCAAATTGATCCACCCTGAACCGAGTATTTAGCGATTGAATTTTGGGTCTAGCCTCGGCCATCATTACTAAAGTCGGTACGATTATCCACGTTTTGATTTAATCATAAGCAGCAGACCGGGTTCTAATCCAGTAAATTTCGCAGGCTAGCGATGTCACCGAGAGTTGATTATGGTATGGATAAGTTAATTAATGTATAATTAATAGTTTATATAACATTTCAGGCCTAAAGAAAGCCCAGCAACTGGCAGATTTAGCTCTTGGATAATGTATGTTTAATTGATGGCATATATGAAAAGATCCATCAACTAAACATCTTTCCATTTCACATCTGTCCTGTTGAAATAATTTCTTTTTGCTCCTGGCAGCGAATGTTTACAACAACATAACAGCAGTGCATGTCGAATAACAATCAAACACACATTCATTAAAAAAAAATACATGGCATAGTTTCACGCGATAGTAAATGTTGTTTACACATGTTATCAGTCATGGCATGAATGTATCTTTAAGAGATAAGAAAAATCTTGTTAAGACATTTTGGACATCTGTTTGCTCGTCTTTCATCTGTATTTTGTTAGATCCCCAGTTTGAAAGGTTGATATAGATATTAAATCGTAAAGTACTGTAATTAGATACATTAGCACCCTTTTACTAAAAAAACAAACTTAAACAAATTTTTAATTAGAACTTCTAACGTTAAAAGGTTTGAAAATTTGGAGAAAACATGTTTACGATCTAAGTTTGTTCTTTTAATTATTGTTTTAACTCGTGCGCTTTAGATAACAAGGTCTGTCATGCAAGGGGGTGGGGTAAGGTGGCTAAGTGAGTAAGACGCTGGCTCGCTAGCATGATGGAGGTCGCGAGTTCGCTACCGGTGTTGGTCGAGAAAGTTCATCGGGATTTGGTGGCGTGGTTTCCACTTGTCAGTGGTGCAGGGCGGAGGGCCTGACAAGGACAGCTGTCTAGAAGTTCAGATGGGGGTAAGACGCTGGCTCTCTAGCATGATGGAGGTCGCGGGTTCGCTACCGGTGTTGGCCGAGAAAGTTCATCGGGATTTGGTGGCGTGGTTTCCACTTGTCAGTGGTGCAGGACGGGGAGTCTGACATGGACAGCTGTCTAGACGCTCAGATGGGACGGAAAACCAAGGTCCCGAGTACACATTGGCGTGCACGTCAAAGATCCCTTGGCAGTTGGAATTCGATATAAGAGTAGCCTTTAGCTCCGCTGTCTGTTCAAAATTTCCCTCATAGCACTCCCCTCCCTCTCTCGACGATGGGTTGGTTCAGACAAGTTGAACGTTAATCCCAATTTCATTTTATTTCAGCAACTGATACCAAACAAAACATTGCAGAACATAACTTCCATACATAATATATTAGTAATCTACGATACAGTTATTCGATTGGAACTTTGAAGTATTTCTGTCAGCATTCCTGTTGCTCTGCTACTATACCCAACAACGACACGCATGCATGACAAAATATACATCTGACATTGATTTTAATTCAGAACATTTTTCTAAGCTTTATCTAAAGCTCCACATTCAAAAATATATAATAATAACTGCTCTAGGCTATCGAAATATTTCTAGTGATGTGAGATAATATTCTTTTCACGATATGGGGTTCCGTTTTATTAGAATCCGTTAAAACATAAACATATCCAGATGATTGCTGTTAAGTATGTAGTTTTTTTTTCATTCCAGTATCGATTAATCGATATTCAACTTAAATTCCCTGAACAGAAGAGATACTATAAAAGAGTTACTGTTTTATTGATTTAGAAATCATCTTAAGGAAACACCCATATTGCATTTCCCATCAAAACAAAAGTACGAAATGTTAATAAGTAGGGGACTTCCGATTAAAGTTGTTTTTAAATATTTGTTTATGTAACATGAATTGTTTATGACAGCTACACAATTTTATTTTATAATAATGTTCCTTCACTAATAAAAGAAAATCTTTTACATAACGTTTAATGCTGGAATTGATGATCCGCGAAGTACTATTGCTCGTATTGTAAGAATATGATTGACATCCATGGGTAATTACTTGTCTCTGGGAAGAAGAGAAATTCCTAATATCAATTTTGAAATATTATGAGAAAAACACTTACAAATTGTTTTAGTAAATTATTGTTGTAAAATTTATGATTTCAATGTCAGTAGCATCAGATAGGGGCTAATGGGGTCATGACACTAGACATAGAATATTTCCTCCTTAAATAGGTGTCTGTGAAGGAATCAGGAAAAACGATTTATCTGTGCGAAATAGGAAATGGTTAGAGGCATTTGGTAAAAGACTGTCATAAAATTTGATTCCTACTGTATTTCTTTGTTG